GATGTCAATGTATTTTTCTGAATATAATAAAATAACAAAAAAAGTTCTGAGAAATTAAAAAACATTAATCACAAATTTCTAAAAAAAATTGAATGATTTTATGCTTAAAAAATGAAATTAAAATATTAATATATTATGCAGTACAAACCGACTCAATTCTACATTAGGTACCATAATTATTACTTTAGTTGGTATTCATAGTTTTATTTTATAATTTTAAAATAAATGTATGAAAATTCTTAATTTGGTATAATAATACACAATTTTTAAATTCAAAATAATAGTTATGTATGTGCCCATGAGCGAAAAAGCATTTTTTTTTACTGGGATAATTTTATTAGAGCCACATATACCTAGTGCCTTTATATTGTATATAAAAAAAATTAACTTCTTTTGTGTTTAATCGTTGGCACATTTACTTAACAAATCTTGATCCATTCTTTTTTTTATTTTTGTTATTCAAACATCGATTATATTTATTTATATTTACATTTTATACATTGTTTAGTTTTAGCCCAATAGTACATACAACTAAATAGATATGTATTTATACGGGTATAGATGAGTTTATAAATAGGGCCCCCGGGCCCTAATGGAGTAAACAAATATTGCCAATACACATTAATACTGTACGGCCACCAGGGCACCTGCCGGTATTATAAAAATGTACTTTTTATTATTATTATTATTGTTTTATTTTTTGGCATTGGGGCCCCTGAGTATAATATTGATGAGGGTCTACCGGGAAAATCCTGATTTCCCGATGGGCCTGTCCGCCCATGGGTATGTCACTATAAAAATGCTTATTTTCTTATGATACCACCATTTGTTTTTCATTACCAGATTAAATGTATACTTTTATACATTTAACGAATATAAATGTTAAAGATGATATAGATGTTAATAATATGTACTAAAAGATTTTTGACTTAATATAAATAAACAAAACACGAAAGTTTTTTTTTTTAATATTGTATTTTTGATGAGTTGAAATAACATGTATCTGTTAAGTTTTAGTTTATTTCTTAATTTAGTTTAGTATCTGTAATTATCAGGTTTGTATGGCCCCTCAACTGGTATTCCAAGATACTTAGATTGGTCAGGAGTGAGCTTAGTCAACTTGACACCCAAGTGATCCAAATGCAGAGCTGCAACTTCTTCATCTAATTTCTTAGGTAATACATATACATCATGTTTGTATTGTTCTGTTTTGGTAAATAATTCAATTTGTGCTAAGACTTGATTAGTAAATGATGTGCTCATAACGAATGATGAATGTCCAGTAGCACAACCTAAATTTACCAACCTTCCTTCAGCCAAAAGAATAATATGTCTGCCATTGGCCAAAGTGTATCGATCTACTTGGGGTTTGATATTAACTTTATCAACAGCGTTCTTTTCCAACCATGTCACTTCAATTTCACAATCAAAATGACCAATATTACAGACTATAGCATCATCTGGCATATGTGGGAAATGTTCACCAGTGATAATCCCTTTGCAACCTGTTGTCGTCACATATATTTGTCCCTTTGAACAAACTTCTTCCATAGTGGTTACTTCAAAACCAGCAATAGATGCTTGAAGCGCATTAATTGGGTCAATTTCAGTGACAATAACACGACCACCAAAAGCTTGTAATGACATTGCACATCCTTTGCCAACATCACCTAAACCAGCAACAACACAGACCTTTCCTGCTATCATAATATCTGTTGCACGTTTCACACCATCAATTAGGGACTCACGACAACCATACAAGTTATCAAATTTACTTTTTGTAACTGAATCGTTTACATTAATAGCTGCCATTTTTAAAATACCTTGTTTTTTCATTTTGTATAGATTATGAACACCAGTAGTAGTCTCTTCAGAAACTCCTTTGATGCCATCCAAAAACTGGGGGTATTTCTCATGTACCAGCGTTGTTAAGTCTCCACCATCATCCAAAATCATATTTAAAGGATTACCATCAGCAAACACCAAGGTTTGTTCAATGCACCATGTGTATTCTTCTTCTGTCTCCCCTTTCCAGGCAAACACAGGGATTCCAGCTTTTGCAATTGCTGCAGCTGCATGATCTTGAGTACTAAAAATGTTACAGCTAGACCATTGTACTTCAGCCCCTAGTTCAACAAGAGTCTCAATGAGGACAGCTGTTTGAATAGTCATATGAAGACAACCGGCTATGCGGGCACCCTTAAGAATTTTGAGTGGACCATATTTTTTACGCAAAGACATTAAACCAGGCATTTCTTTTTCAGCTAAAATAATTTCTTTGCGGCCCCATTCAGCAAGAGATAAATCCGCAACTTTAAACTTGTGGGTGGCTCCTCCGTTTTCCATTTTTCTTTTCTTGATTGACGTTATTTTGAATGTTTTATATATCTATAAAATCAAAATAGGTAAATTATATAATAATTAATTATATGGTGACTACTAATTAGAAGATCATAAATATCAGTCTTATATGATTTGGGTCATTCATTTTTGAGGATTCAATTATCTGTTATGAAACTTGAGTTTAAAACTATTGATATTTTTATGAACTAGTTAATATATCATAATAAATACCTAATATCATTAGGGGTGATGTATTAAAAATAAAAAAACTTAGGTATTCTTTTCAAGAATTATTAATATTATTTCTAATAGAATTTACCAATTCATCCATCACTGTTATTGGGATTTTTTTAACACACAAGCAAATAATAAATTAATGCCACTAGATACATAACTAGTTTTGTTATGTTTGGTGATAGGCACTAAGAGTTCTTGTTATTTGGCATAATTGATTGTTAAAATTGTGTCCATGTATTATCGACTTTCATAAAGTACCTATATATAATGGTTCTAATTCTTAGTTACACTTTTTAAACTATTTAGATAGAAATAATTAGTGTGAATTTTATAATATTTCCAAGAATAATTCTTAATGAATTTAATAGATGTCTTCTAAAAACTGTTAGCTACACCGGAAATGTCATTATTTAACATGCTGAGTAACAGTAAGTAATTTATTAATATAGTAATATTTTAAAGACATAGTAAAAAATCTTCATTTTTTTATCATCTAATTAAATTTGATTTTAAATATTAGGTATATACTATGTAATATTTATACAAATAACTATTCTTACTTGTTTCAATATACATAATATTACAATTATCTCACAGGTTTAATGATACACAGTGTGATTCAATATGCATGCTCACTCCAATTTCATCCATTAATAATGCATTGATAACTCTACTTTGGACACTTAGATTTTTATAGGTATATTAATATTAAAATTTCCTTTAATGATATAAACTCTTTTATTTAAACATTTTGTTATAACTAAATCAAAACTTGAACCTACTAGTTTCTGTCTTATAAAACTATACTAAGGATTATAATTTATAGGTAATATAATAATAATCCTTAATAATAGTTTAATGTCAAATATAAAGTAGAAGTAAAACCTTATGTAATATTTACTCTATTTTTTTTTTTGTAGTACTTAGTACAACTTAATTAGTATCTATACTCGGACAAATTTTATCTATGCTATTTTAATAGTTAATATGTGTAATTTTTAAATCATCATAGTCCCTATAAAGATTTCACTACTATCATGTATTATTATATAATTTATAAAAGGCATATAAAAATTGTATTAATCTAGAAGGCAGAAACTACTTGTTCAATTTCAATTTATATAGATCTTCTTATATAAACATTCTTAGAAAAACATGATTATCATTTGAAAAAAAGAAGTTTAAATCAACAAAGGACATTCATTAAATGGTATAATACTTTTATCTATATATTTGATAAAAACAATGTTTAAATATACCATCTACTTTATAATTCCAAAAATCAGAATTTCAGTAATTGTATTGCTAAAGGAAACATAGGTTTTTACATATATTATATTCTTATTTCTTATACAAGTTTAAATATTAAATTATATAGGTATCCCATTTAGAAATTAATATTAATAAAACACTTCAGTGACATAACACTTACTCCCCCCCACCAAAAAAAAAAAATAACAAGAATTGCTATTACAAAAATTATTTTGAACACACCACAAAAAAATTCTGAGTACACAATGACCCAGGACATAAAATACAGAATGGCAGACTGTTGTACAGTAATTAAAAACACAGTTAAGGCTCAGAACAGAGATTGGAAGGGCATTGAATAACATTTATGAATTAAGAGTGATATTAAAAATAAATTTAAGTTTGTATGAAAGGAGTTGATTTTAAATAAGAAGGCAATATGGGCACAAACTACGTAACTCAATGATGGTTTTCCTCAACGAAAGGTTTTGTTGAGATCGACATATTCTACAATTGTATTAGTGTACCATTGGATCACTGAATCAGTCAACTCAATTAAATGTATTGTATTCCCTGTCACTCAGATTCTGAATGCGAATGTACGAAAATAATAAAATATAATAGGAAACTATATAGGTATGATTATAATAAAATTACCTATTGGCTATTATTATTTATTAATATTATTATTATTCATTACTCGAGACCCACATAAAATGGCAGGGTTAATTCTCATATATTATAATGTAGCAATATAATGCAATACTTACACGTTTCGGACGAGAACGGTAACCACACAACTACGTGGATAATTGGAAAATAGTAGAATCTGGCGAACGATTTATGACGTGGAGGGTAAATTTAGTAGAAAAATATTGTCGTGGTTTCGATTCAAACGAACCGGCAAACGACGATAGGGATGGCGTGATGAAATGTAATCGTTATTGCTCCAATGATCGCAACCGGCCTCGTGTGGTGTCGTCGTCGTCGTCGTGCGTGCGGGAAAGAAAGAAACGGTGCAATTATGAAAGACTGAAAGACCGCCGCGATCTTATTATCTCATTATATCCTTACAATAATTATTGTATACTGTATTGTGATTTGTGTTAAGGATCGCGTGTTTTTACAACATCGATAGTGCACGTGTTAAACAGAAATCGATAGTATTGTAGTACGGCGCGAAAAACTAAATTTCATACGGTCAACCGGACCGGACCGTTGGTAACCGATCGTTTCTCAGTGGTTCGGCAATTTGGATGATGGATTTCATTGAGGAATAGAAAAAAAAAATTCTATTTTTGATTTATTGATGTTGATAGCACTTGATAAGTTTAATAATAATATTTACGCCGTGAGCTTAGCCTCTAATCATCATGGTCGTTGCTCTATGTACTCACTCACGGGCAATAATGATATATATGTATACGGGTACACACAGTTTCATATTATAATCTGTCATTCGATCATGACCAAGACGCCAAGTACATTATCAGCTGTGCCGTTATCACTACCAGCTATCTGTCATATACTCATATTATTATATTTTGTTTTCGCTACAGAATTAAAATACCGATTTGGAAATAATAATGTAAATTTTAAACGCAAACTTTTTTCGATCACAACAATATAGTATCGGCATTCTCAATCGTGTGAGAGCCAAATCAGATTTAACATTGCTAGCTAGTGCCTGGCCGCGTACAATGAAGTTCATGATCAGCACCTCTCGGTGCTATGCTGCCACCAATTGCAGATTGTTGAATTTTGAACACAGAACGTACAAAAACAGTCGATTTTTCAGGTATGTGTGTCAAAGCGGAACGTAAAAGCGGATCCTTCGTCTTCCCCAGTATTATCTGATATTAGTACATCAATCAACACACCGGTTGGATATTATGTTTGAAAATATATCTGATATTATGTCTTATGGGTCTACCCAGTTGGGTTAGGTCCATTTCAGTCCATTTCTACCGTCCACTTATCAATTTTCTTTTTGTCCCTACTTCGCATTTGGATGTAGCCTTTGGCAATCTTAACAATTTGTTTTTAAATGTTAGGCACCTAATCTGACTGTTATTGTTGAGAAATATAAGTCATTAGCCAAATGTTTTACCATGCCTTGTAATGCAGGGGCATTCTTTTCAAATACTTACTACAATTGTGTGGACATTTTTTATGTCACACTTGCCCCAGTCCCAACTTTCTATTATTGTTGTTTCTTTTAAGTACTTGTTAATGAAATTTGCCTAGTTTAAAATGTTGTAATAATTTTTGTATTTTGTCAATACCATGCTTGTATTCTACATGGGTAGTCACAAAGCTAACATATTTTTATATTTTATATCATTTAATCATTTTGTTGGTATGCCTCTAACAACTCACTCCACAATGACCTCAAAATGGAAAACATTATGACAGTTGCATCCAGCCATTACAAAAAATTACACTCCACAATAGCCACCGACACCAATCCACTGATAGCCATTCAAGGTGGAGCTAACCCACCAAATAATCCCATCCGACAGTTAATAAGAGTATAAGACCCTGATAAAGGGATTTACTAAATCTCTAACCATAATGCCACTTCAGGGTTCTGTCACTGAATAGCTTCATTCCTCATAAATATTATTATCATGTAAATGCTCTCCATCATATTTATCCTATTTACTTATTGTACATACTATGCTACCGATTGACACTTCTTTATTTTAAATAAAAATAATTTTGTTGGATAAAAGCATATTATGATTATTATAATCATAAGGTACCTAAAGAGGATATTCTACATTTTTACATTTACAAGGTATACCTACATAATAGGTACCTAAATTGTTTTATTTTTTGTTAATATTTTAATATTTTTTATACTGTCCATTTTTTAAACTCAAATTAAAATGAAATTATTTTCATCTTGAGCTCTTAAATTTAAATATTTCTCAAATAGTTAAGACTTTATACAAGTTTTGTAATAAGTTATTTAACAATACTGTTGATTACAAACATGTCATGTTTTTACAACCAATCAAACCCTTTAACATTTTGCACTGGCCAGAATTCTGGTAATACGAATAACCCTTTTGTTCTTTGCATCATACTCTTAAGTATTTTAAAATGACTAATTTAGGTCAAATGAAAAAATTATGAAAAAATAAAAATATTTTAATAATTAAGTACCTAGTTGGCTAGAACTACACATTAAAAAGTAAGGTACCTTTGCCAATCTTATGTTATATTGAATAACATGTATTTAGATTTTTCTCAGAAAGTACATTTAACTATTAAAGTGGTATATTTTGTTAAACTATTGAAGACCTAAGTGTATTATTTTGCATAATTCATAAGGATTGTGTTCAAACATATTTGCTTCTAGTCATAAGCCCAAACTGATAAGACTATGCACAAGTAATTAATGAATACTCTAATATTATTTTGTTGGTCTATATTATTATTATGAAACGTGTTCACATGACCGCAAAGGCCACACACTAGGTTGAATGAAATTTAAAAATATTTTTTTGTGGGAATGAGCATTTAATTTATTTTATAATTTATTTCTAGGAATTCAGTAGTTTTGCAGTTACCAAGCAAGGAACCATTGAAAACAGATACAAAACCTCAGGCAGTTCCGCCCTATCTAAGTGGCAGTGGTGTTGATAGTACTAACCAATGTTTACAATCTACTGAAAAAAAAAATGCTTCGTTAAATAACACTGTTGTTAAGCATGATAATAAATTAGACAATAAACAAAATATGAATGAGACAAAGATCTTAGATGATAAAAACTTCACAATGCGACTTGCGAAGAGAATTGAAAAATGGTCTCCATCTACTGCAAAATATGCAAGACTGAGTGTTTTTGGGTGTAAAGTTAGTAATATTTACTTAAATGGCTAGCAAATATAACATTTTTTTATTTTTTATTTCAGTATCTATACAAAGATGTTCTAGTGTTACTGTCAGCTTATAAAAAATATTATAGTTCTGATTTGTCGTCCTTAACTTATGCCGAGTTGGAGTTGAAGTATAGGTTACCAATGCAACTTGTTCGTTTGACACCGATCCTAATTTTTTGGCCTGTACCATTCACTAATTTGTTTCTGTTTCCATTAGCGTAAGTAAAAGTATATTTATTTTTAAGTTATACTATAATCACTATTCATTATTGAGAATTATTTTTGGCTGCAGAAATAAAATTCTTGGTTTATTAAAATGTTAGTTTTGTTGTAGGAGTAATAATAAAAGCAACAATCCATCATTTGGATTTCATTTTTATTAAACTTTATTTAATTTCAGGTTCATGTTTCCTAAGTATTTGCTATCTGAGCATTTTTGGTCAGATGAACAACTTAAAGAGTATTGGATAAAAGATCAACAGAACAATTTTGAACACACCATGAGAGTTTTTGAGTAAGTTTATTTTTCTTATTTAATTCTTATTGATAAAAATTGAAATATTAATTATATAAAAATATTAATGAATCATAATGATGTACTTTTATATTGAACATATTTGACATTTGTTCATTATATTTAATGATATTTACAAAAGCATGTAAATTTGAATGCTTGTTTATTACGTTAGGCATTTGAGCTTAATGGCTGAAGAATGTTCAGATGATATGCTTTTAAAATGGTTTCGGGTAATTGAATGTTTGGGAGCAGGAGGTGTATCCCCAGTGGACGACATTATTCAAGCCATCCCCGTTTTTACTATGTTCCCGTATCATTTTAGTACTTTGCCTCGTCAACATATTGTGAGTATTTAAATTAAATAATTGTATTGCTAGTAAAATATTTTTATTTTATTAATTATTTTTATTATTATTTATATTAAAGACAGTACTATTAAAAATGTATAACATACACCGTGGATGGAGAAGAAGAGTGAGGTTAAAGAAATTAGCACAATACATACAATTTATGGATAAGGCAATAGAATCCGAAGGTGGGCCTGATCAATTAAATGATAGACAGTTAAAATGGGTATGTTATTTAAATATTTCATCAATAATGTAATGTCTAAATTTAAGAATAATTGTGTTGTGCAACACATTTGTATCTAAAACAAATAAATTACAATATTCCTTATCATATATTTAATATAGTCATGTGTTTTTACCATTAAAATATAAAAATTAATATAATATTTTATTATTTTAATTGTTTAATTGAAAATCTTTTATTTTGGTTGCAGGCATGCTTATTTAGAGGTTTAAGCCCTTTTTCGTCAACTAGGGAAACACTTGTCTTATATCTAAAAGACTGGATAAAGATCTCCTCGAAGATCGATAATGATTCACTTAGCTGTATACTCCATTGCCAGGTTTTATTGGCATTAAATCGACCAGAAAATGACATACTAAGGAAGACAGAATAATAAATGGTGCTTAATTAAAAAGTAAAATAAATTATCATTTAAAACGTAGACAGAATAAGCCATTGTAATTACAATAATAATAAAATCTAGTCTGTACTTTTGTTTTGTAGTGCATATGTTAATCAATATTTTGTAAGAAAAAATTAATATCCAGTGGTGATATTAATATTCTGTCTTGGTGATATTTTATTTTGTTTCATTGTAATTTTGTTAATAGAGTTTTTTTTAAATTTGTTTTAAATCAATCTAATATATTTAAAATTAAAATTGAGACTTTAGAAAAAAATATATTATTGAAATATCCATTGAATAGATGAAATGGGTAATGAAATTGAAACAGATAATATTTTAAATGGCTAAATTGTGTTTTATGTTTGATGGAATTTGAATTGAGTACTGGAAGCGCAGGATCAATATTTTCATACCAATATTAAACAATGCAATAAATAACCATAGACTTATCCTTAAAGCTTACATTTTTAAAAGTAATGTTTTGATTATTGTTGCTGCTATAATCACCGCAAACTTTTATTTGTGAAAAAATATTGCAATACTCTGCTCAACTATTGAACAATATTGTTTGTTAAAATTCAATTTAAGTTTAAAAATAAAGTTACAAATGTTACAGTACAAATTCCATAAAAACATAAATGTTAAAAATGTATATTATATATTTTTCATTTTTGAATAATTGCTAAAGGAAAGATGTAGGTATGTGTATAATATTATTTTTAAATTTCAATATTTTTGACCTAAAAACTTTTAACAGTTTTAAGAAAGAAAAACTAATAAAATTTAAAATGCTTTAGTATTAATATCTTAAAATTAGTATAAATATTTTTAAAATGTTATTGAGCAGGTATAGAAAATATTAATTTAAGTAAATGAGGTATGTGTGAACTGCTATAGGAGTAGCGCGGCCTGGCATGTCATTAACGATATCGGAGACCGGTGAATTGCAGCCCGGTAATATTTTAGGTATAGGTTAGTTGTGGCCCGGGTAATTATCATTACGTATGTACCTGTATAGGATTAAGGAAAATAAAATGTGTGAAAAAGAAGGTTGCATTAGAGAACAGATGACAAAGCAAAAGCTAAAAGAAATAGAGAATTTTGATTTAGTTAAATAGTTGAGTTTTAAGTTTTTACCAAAACAATAGTTAGACTAGGTGAGGTATAAACGTATAGTGATATATTTATATATTCGAATGCTTTTTTTTATTTTTTAAACATTATTATCATATTATATGATATATTATATTCTAGGAACGCAAAAAAAATATTGATGTAGGTAAGATAATATTAGAAAATATGTACTATTAATACCTAATTAATTTATTAAATTTATATCATGGTGTTTATATACTATATATAGCATCTACTATATATTATTTGTTTATGTAATATATGCATTATTGCACTGCCGAAATTCGTATGCACCTCTCATAAGCCCGGGCCGTAACTCATACGTTATTTAGGGATTCGGCCGCAACTCACCAACACCGATTTGAACCATCTATTTGAGAGACGACGTAAGTCCATAAAATGTAATTCTGAGAAAACAAGAAAAAACTTTTTTTAGGTACATTACCAGTGATACACGGACACACGGTTATATACTTATATCTCTTTCATACTGATTATTTAGTGGTAAAATCAAACTTTTTTTTGCAAATATTCAGACATGATCCGTCTATCATTTGATAACACATTCCACTCAATAACTCAATTTGAGATATTTTGTGACTTACGTCGTTTCTCAAAAAGGTGGTTCATTTAAAGTTTCTACCTCCAATATCTTTTGATAAATACGTAACAATTCATTGATTATATAGAATATAGATGGTTATCCATTATATTTTGTTTGATGTAATATCGAATATCCCGTCGTCATAATACATTTCAACATTTTTTACTACGATCAATCATAAAAAATTATTAACACTTAACTTTTTATAAGTTTAAGGTAAATGCAAGAGAAATAGTGCATCAAATGGCCAACCCTTAGGTGCAAAAATAAAGATTTTTAAAAAAATATAAAATTCGTAGCCACCATTCGCCTTTCCTTTTATTGATTTAAATATAGGTACTACTCAAGTAGGTATAACTAGAGTCTAGGAGTCTATCTGGACCGGGGGTCTCAAAACGCTTCTACAACTCATGGTTAATCTCGACAGTATTTAACTCACTAATGCATTTGCTAGCCACTGGTGTGTATCCAAGGAAGGGGGCGGGTTGAAGGATCATTTCCTCCCTAACAATTTTTAATGTTTAAAATAACTCATTGTCAACAAAATAATCAAAATTTTTAATTTATAGGTTCGCCCCCCTTGAAAACTGTCTAGGGATGCCCCTGTTTTTCTATATATAACCGCTGTAACCATTGGCTTCTATTCTACACAATTACAACCAGTCTAGGATCCCAAAAAATATGTGTGTACAATTTTGGGGCTAGTGCCTAGTGGATTCATTTTGACCAAAAAATGAATAGTCTGTATGGGCAACGTTTATTTATACCGTTTGGGAGAGTGAAATTATTTTTAAAAAACCGTCACTGTCGGCATCACTGTCTTTATGAATTCGAGCCAACTATAATTGAAGTGGATATACTTAAAAATACAGAAGAACAAAATTAATAATAGTAAACTAATATAGTTTTTTCTCTATGGCAAACAACTACTTCAAAATTTCAAGTCTTATTATGAGAAACTAATCGAATACATAGTATAACTGTGACATTTTATTTTATTGTATTGGACAGGTGGTACAACTGGAGACAGGTGNTGTTACGCAGTGTGAAAACAAGTACTTTGAATCACAAAACGATTTTACGCTTGAGAACTTTAATTTATTTTGTAACAATATTGTGCACATTAGAAGAAAAAGACGGCCGAATGCGCTCGTTACGCCGGTTACGTATATACTAAAATAAAAATTGAAGCCTGGCAATGTGATCGCCGAATAGAGCCTCTTTCTTATCTTTATTGATACATTGATTACGATACGTACCGAACAATCGCTCCCAGCTTCCGAATGAGGCGTGGCACCGATTGCTGTCATCAAAACTTAAAATTACCATTTTAGTATTTTACGATTGTTAAAGGATGGTTATCACATTGGTAATTCTAAATTAAAAATATATAGGTGTCCAATCTCAATTTCTACATAAATATTGAAATATTACAAGTATTATACTACAAAGTAACATATACACTTAAAAGTCTGAACATTTAATATATTTATATAATGATATTTTATTTTTTAAGAAAGCACAATTAGACAAAAACATATTTAAAGAATAAATACATAGAAAACTTTATTTTAATAAGTAATAAATAAAGAATGGTAAATTGGTAACAATATAAAATATTTAAAAAAAAAACAAGATTATAAGAACAGTCTTTTAGGAAATTATCTATGTGATTACTGATTAGTCGACCTGCCGCTGACTACACAGCTTAAAATAGGATCTACCTCAGTGGCATATTTACGGGGAGGAGGGGATCCAGACCCTTCCAATTGTGAATTGACTCGTATCTCGTCTATGTTGAATTTTGTGTTTTTACATGATTAAGAAAAGCTGATTTTATCATACATATTGTTTGGTAAAAAATTGTCGTCCCTTCAATTGTCAAAATTTTTAATTAATAAATATCGTGATTTTATTTGTTATCAAATACGAATGAAGTTATATACTAGGATATATTTATTACAAAAGTTATAATCAAACTGTGCAGAATATTTTTAATTTGTTTTCCATTTAAGAGATAGGCTAAATGAACGGGTTATTCATTCATCGGGACATACCACTCAATTTGGATGCAATTAATAATAAAATAGCGCTGAGTCCTAGCCGATTAGATATTGTTTTGTAATCTGATAATAAAATGTTATTTAATTACAATAAATAGTTAACAGTTCTCATGTGTTTTTGTATAACACTTAAATAAAAATTTTAAATTGTTGTCATCATGAAAAACCAGCTAGATACCTATATGTCAGCAATTTATTAGTTTACTTGTGAACTACTTACATTAAGTAAGTTACATAATTAGTTAGTTAATCATTTTGGGTACCACGACCTCTTAACCATAGAATAAAGATACAACGCATGTTCTAGGACGTTTCGCTTTAAGCAAAAAATTAAGAAACCGATTTGGAATTAATAATAATGTACATTTTAAGTACAAACGTGTATCGACCACAACAATATAATATCGGCATTAGAAATCTTGTGAGAGCTGAGTCGGATTTGATCCGCCAAACATTGCTAACTATATAGGTAGCTTAAGCCAGCTTAAGACAGTGGTTCCTAAACTTTGAAGACCACGGCACCCTTAAAAAATTGTTTATTTTTCGCGGAACCCCAATGTCTAATTCAACTCAACTACAATTTTTCTAAATAAAAAAATGGAAAACCAATTCTCTAAACTCTCAAGTCTAGATAATATTTTAACGATACTGTTAATGACTTTTCATTATTAAACTTAGTTTAAAAAAAGACATTTTAAATCAAAACTCTTTTTTTAAATAACAAACATTAAATAAACATAATTTCCTCAATAATCACATACATTTGGCTGAACCCTTGACGTTGTCCCACGGAACCCTAAGGTTCCGCGAAACACACTTTGGGAAACGCTGGCTCAGGGTATCGGTGCTATGCTGCCACCAATTGCAAATTGTTACATTTTGAAAACATTAGATTTTTCTGGTATGTGGTCAGATACATCTTCGGATCTTCCCAGTATATTGTCTGATATTATACAGTTTGTCCATTGACACATCGGTCGGATATTGTGTTTGATAATAATATATCTAATGGGTCTACCAAGTTGGTTTAGATCCATTTGATTTCTAAAAAAACTGTGTCCTCTTGAAGCTTCCAAAGGTTCTTATAATTTCGCAGTTGACCCTGTCCCTTCAAATTTACTGACCGGTCTCTTTATTGTTGTTGCGGTTGGTCCTTCAAGGTGTCCGAGGATCGTAAAAAGTTTTCCAACAGTTACCGTAACGCACTCGCTGTGCCTATAATGGATTTGAATGGACAAAACACGTTGCTCGACGCCTCGATTGTATTCCGTTCTATGACGACAAGTAA